GGTTCAGGTAGTCCCTTAACTTTGGATGATCAAGTTTCTCCAGTGGGATGTTCACCACTGTGAAAGCCTCCACAAGGGAAAACGTCACCTCTCGCCTTGCCAAGCTGCTTTCTATGGCCTTAAAACAGGGAGGGCTCTATCGCTTGTTTCTTACTCTGACCTTCAGCTTCTGCAACAGCCTTCTACTTCACATGTGTCGTGGACTGTAAGTGTTGATCTATGTTGGTTTTTCCTCAACACATCCAGAGTTACATTGCTGGTGGTACAGAAAAGTCTGTCTCCATCTGCATGCAAGGTCTCTGCATGATACTATTTTACACAGCCCAGCGCTGAAATGTGTTTGGCCTTCTTAGAAGATTTCTTACCATCCCTGCTCCTCCTCAGGCTACAGCATGCCTGTGGGTGCTTTAAAAACTGGCACCAAAACACTCCCACTTCTCTGACTGGCCCTGGACTGAGCCTACCTCACAGGCTCAGTCTCTGATTTGCTTCCTCCTCCCCCCCGGCCACTCAGGACTCCAGGGTTTCCCACCCTTTTGTCTTCTTACAGCTTGATTTTATTTTTTTCCTCAGAGAGCCTACTAAAAATCACAGATCCCACCAAAATTCATGATTTCTGTGAAAAATCACACAACTGCAATTTCAGTAGGTTCCTACTTATGAGCAAAGGAATGAAAGACTTTTGGAATAGTTGAATTTGGAATAGAGAAGACTGACCTGGGCTTGGTAACAGTCTTCAAATACCTAAAGAGAATGGAGATAGATGGTTTATCACAGCTGTAGGATACAGGACTAAGAGCCATGGTCTCAAGCTGCAGCATGGGAAACGAAGGTTGGAGACAAGGAAGAACTTTTTGATTATGAGAGCACAAGCACTGGAACAGGCTACCTAGAGAACCTGTGGAATCTCCATCCCTGGAAATTTTCAAAAGCAAGTTACACAGACGCTTGACTGGGATGGTTCAGTCGGAGGTGATCCTGCCTTGAGATGGGGCTAGAATAGATGACTTTTTGAGGTCCCTTCCTGCCCTATTATCCTACGAACAGCAAGCCATTGCCCTTCATACATGCATGCTGCAGATGAGAGCAGCAAATGAGGAACAACTTTTTGTGTCTCAGTTTAATAGGATGGAAAGGGGAGCTTGGGCTGGAAGTGACGCTGACAGGGATGGACCAATCTTCCTTCACTTGCTTAAATTTAAATAGTAGGTACAGTAATGAAGCCATCAAGATTTTGGAGAGAAATATTTACTGTACAACACAGCTACAGCATATGCAATAAATGCAGGAGTGTTTTTCATTAGCTACTATCATCCTTGAAGAAAAAGAAGGGGAACAAGAGTTAAGACTACATGGGTGTTTACCTAATCTAATTTTGTGTGTTCAAAAACAATTCTTCTTCCATACTGAACTACAAAAAGATGCACAGACTTAACATTCATTATAAGTAAAGCTATCAACTGGATAAGACATTTTACAGATAAGCATCTGATGAAATACGTTGTTGCCTACAAGGCCCAATTCCCCGTGGCACCAGCTGGTCTGATGCACCCTGTGTGCTGCCTTCTGCCCAACTTCAAGCTGACACGACTAACCACCTCTGCTTTGTAACTTATTCTATTCAGCCAAATCAAACACTGTGAAAGTGAAATAGCCTGTAGAAGCCTTAAAAATGACAGCAGCCCATTGGTTTCAGGACTCTTAATACCACAGCACTAACCATCTACCATCTTTACTCAAATCCATGATGAGGTTTTTCCCTCCCTACTACGATCCTTGGTCTACCCTGTTTCAGTCACCTGACCTGGCTTGTTACTAATAGGGCCCAGGGACCACTTGTGGAGAAATCACCTGCCAGTCTGTCTCTGCTGTAATGCAGCAGCCCAAACCCTCCCCATTTGGTTACAAACTGTGGCTGTTGGATACACCTGGTCTCCTTGGTAACAGGCTTGTAAATTCCATAGCTCTCTCTTTCTTTGCTTAAGAGTTCCCACCACTGCAGGTCATGTGACTAGTCCTCTCACCTGGGAAGGTGATGTCATTGGGAAGTACCAGTCAGCAGCCAATGGGTCTGCTTCTGGTGGGAACTTAGTGATAAGTTCACAACAGCAGTACAAAACAGCCCCTCCACAAGTATTGAATTACCAGCAACTTAAATAGAAATGTAGTTTATAGTAATCTAGAAGTGGATCAAATGGCTATCAGGCTGGGTCTATTTGCTCAGAGTTATTCTGTTGCTACTTCTCTAACTTGTACCGCTCCCCATGCCTAGCCTCTGTACTCAATAAAGCTATCCACTTTAGCAAGTTTTGTGGTACATGCTTGAGCGGGACTGGGCACGCCTTCGTGCTCTCTTTGCTCGGCTGACTAAGGGAAGCTATTTTCTGTGCTTTGGGTTAAAGGAAACACCCCAAGATTTCACAGTGGGTCAAGCACCCTCAAGATCTACAAGACCTGTGTACCCTGGGGGGCACAAAGCCCACACAAAGACCAGACCCCAGGTGGTGGCAGCAGTTATTCCAGGCTTGCAGCTGTGCTCCAGTGTAACAGCCAGAACCAGAAGGATTAATAAGCAATAAATATGTGCTTCTTGGAGGCAACTAGTATTTTGCCTAAACAGGTAATATTAGTTAATATAAAGCTTGTAAGTTTGTAAACTGCATATGTAACTTGTCTGTCATAAGTTTAACCAAAATGATAAAATTAACTGTTCGTGGAACTGACTGGGCCCCATAGGCAAAGCTGTAGCTGTGAGATTAGCTGACCTAAAGGTTTCTGCTCAGGGTTCAGCTTTAGTGATAAAAAAACTGGATCCAACTGCCTGGCACACCCAACACATCCCAGGAAAACACATCCCAAGAAAACATTCAAATGAAACCTAAAAGGGGTTGGGGCGTAGGCGGGGTAATATCAATTTCAAACCTAAAGGTGCTGCATCATAATTTGCTTATTGGATAAACCCCAGTTTGAGTAGTAACCTTTTATGATAATTTTTAACACCTTTCAATCCCATAGGGTAACACCTATAGGGCAACATTGTGAGTGGCTCTGAGGCCAACAGATTAACATAAGACTAGGTATAAAAAGCACATGCATCAGATAACTAGCAGGAAGGAGGGAACAGAACAGTCTTTTCTGTTCCACTCCCGGACTCCAGACCCCCGAAGTGAGTGAGGATCGGATCCTGATCAAGGGACCTTCCCCGGTAACCCTCTGACAGTGTTGATCGGGGACACCTCACTTTACTGGAATCACTTGACGCGCACCTGGCATTGAGGGACTATTGATAAGTTGCCAACCCATGTCTGTCTATCTGTTGTTTTGAACAGCCCAGTGGCCAATACCCTCACAGTGCCCAGTTGACCTGCGACAGAATTGATTTATCTATCCGTTATTATTTACTATTAGCTATTTAATACTGCATTATCTGCTTATTGCATTTATCTTTCGGTTAACTGTTGCGTGCGTGTAAGCTACAATAAATTTGCCTTTGCTTCTCTCCCAACTTTGCCTCCTCAATCCAAAACTGAATCAAACAGCCCAGTTGGCCTGTGATAAAACTGATACACTGACGGTGCCCAGCTGGCCTACGACACTCCAGGAGGGGGGCTGGCCCAGAAGTTGGTGCCCCTGGGGAGGCATCAAAAGCTTGGTACAGTACAATCACAACTTACGTAGGGGTTACGTTCCTAGGTCATCGCATATAGTTGAAATCGCGTATGGCTGAAATCGCCGAGCTCGATGCCAAGCAGCCACTGCTGCCGCCAGGCCCAGACAAGGCAGCCAGCTGAGCATGAGCTCCCCAACCCCCCACCATGCCGGCGCATGCAGACAATACCAAGCAGCACTGCGCAGCACCTCACTATGTGCGGTTTCCTGGCTGATACCCGGTGGCCAGCCCCAGCAGCTGAGCACGTAAAGCCGAATTCGCGTAAATTAAATTCGTGTAAATTGTGACTACTGTAGTTGATTAGCACAGGGAGATGGGTGGCTCAGCGCAGGAGCATCCTCTACTGGCCCACCACACCAATCATTCTCTGTTTAACTGGCAAGTGTTCATCTGTCTGCAATCTGCAGACTCAGCCCCGCAGCCCCCTTGGCTGAGCACCTTGTAGGTTGCAGCCACTCTGCCACTCCACTTGCCCTTCCTCCAAGGGACAGAAAAGAAGGCTCTCCTGTTATGCTCCCCCCTCCCCCTTTAAACACAGGGGGGAAATCCTTCATCCTGGATCCAGTACAAGTGGGGAGGTCAGAGGACTGCTTCAGCTCCGACTCAGAGCCACTGCCAGTCCCGACCGCGTCCATCCCCCGCCACAGCCTTGGCCCCCAGCTGTCCCCTGCCACCTCACCTCTACTCCTCACCACCTGCCCACCGCCAGCCAAGTGGGGGCCAGACCTGGCCTGAAGCCGCAAGTTGGGTGCAAAGGCAGAGGCAGAAGGGAGTGGGAAGGGTTGTGGGGACAGGACAAACAGCACATGGAGAGGCGCTGAAGCCAAGCCAGTGCGGGGATACACCGAAGCTGCCGCTGTGCTCACCACCCCCTCCCAGCCCCACTCCCTCTACCCTCACCCGCGTCGAGCCGCAGCTGGTAGCAGGGCAGCGGCTCCAGCGACAACTTGTAGCCCTCAAAATTGGGGTCCAGCAGCAGGCGCTGGGGCCGCAGAGAGCAGTTCGCCGCCGCCTCCATCCCCGGCCAGGCCCGGCTCCGCCCGCGGCAGCCGACGCAGCTCCTAGGACAAATTCGGAGCGGCCGCCGCAGCTACGATAAGCCGGAAGTCACGGCGCAGCGCGAGGCATTCTGGGATCGACCATTTCCGGCCGAAGTGTTGCTGGGCGTTGTAGTTGTGGGCGCAGGGTATGCTGGGAGGGCTCGTGGGGCCGCCGAAACGGAACGGACAGAGACCAGGACTCCATTTTCCGTCGTCCCCCGCGCGCAGCACGCGGGGGCTGCCGGGATGCGACGTCGCGCTCGGTCGCCAGGGCCGCGCGGAGGGTGGGTGGCGCTCAACCGCCCCGGCCCGGGTGGAGGGGAGCTCGGGCAGCAACAGGCGGTCTCCCCGCCAGCCCCAGACCCGCTAGCGAGTTGCGGGAGGGGAGAGCTGAGGTCCCGCGCCAGGTCTTCCAGGGGGACGAACAGCTTCGGAGCCGAGTGCGGGGCCAAAAGCCGCCTTGGTGGTTTGCACGTTTTAAGTTACCTACAGTACTTCGCAGGCGGCCTGCTTGTGCCCAGGGAAGAAGGGAGGGGAAAAGGAACAGCGAAATAGCCCCGATCAGGAAGAAGCTACTGGAAGGAGTTCAGAAACCCCTGAGATGTATGGGGTGCGGGTGGGGTCCCTAATCCCAGGGCCAGCCCACAAATAACATGGTTCCCTTGCGTGTTGGTGGTGGGCAGTAATTTCCACCGCATTCCTCTGGGGTCAGTGGGAATGTACTTGTATGATGACCCTGTTGACCATAGCAGCGTTTGTTCTTTCTGCAGTAAACATGTGCTTGCTTGCTACAGCTCTTCAATCATCTGAGCTACTTTGTTCTAAGTGGAATTGTATTTAGAAAACTAGAGATCCAAAGGAAAAAAATATAATTTAATTTGATAGGGTTTTTTCTCTTAGTCTGTTGCAAAAGATGTAAGTAATGCTGTTAAAATCTCATCTGATATTTTACAGATTTGTTGTGGAAATTTAGATTTGCAAAATGAATAAAGATGCACAGATGAGAGCAACTATAAACCAAAAACTAATAGAAACAGGAGAACGTGAGCGGTAAGTAGACTTTTCTTCCTCTTCATATGGGTTGTACAATCAGTATTGCATGAATGATGCCTGAAAGGAGGAAAGAAAAATCACTCTCGATTCTCAACCATTGATTAGGATTATTCGTTATATTGGAAGAGTTAATTAAAATAAATTATTCAGAAATAAAGTAAAATTATAATAACCTTTGTAGTCAGGGTTTAATTGAACAAAAAAGTAAAATGATCAGATGTGTGGAAAATATGGTTTCTGAACTCCAAATAAAAACTTTTGCTAGTGTTTTCTTGATTATGTTGTTAAGCAAAGAGATTGCAGATCTCTATTGCTTCTTTCAGGGCAGATGCAGTGTCCTGCACTTACCTTTCTTCTCCCACATGTTGAAATCTGAATGGTCTCTTACTATTCCTGTGAACTGCTTAAAAGCGAATGAGCAGTTAGATGAGGCCACAGTTCTTATTTCTCTATGGCGTTTCACTCCTCTGGATTAGCGTTTTGTTTTCTCATGCACTTAACATCTGCAATCTTTTCCCTTTTCTCTCAGGTGATATTCATAATGCCATGTATCATTAGATCTCCAACTCTATCCTTATCATGCCATTGACACTTGTTTCCTAATGCTTGTTTGTTTTGTGAATCACAATCAAGCTGTGTTTGATTAGTTCCTTTCCTAGTTGTGACTCTTTTTAGAGTAGTCAGTGCTTTGAAAGAGTTTGTGTTTTCTGCGGGGATCCTTGAAAGTGTGTTGTGTGAAAACAGTATTGCTCTTAAATCAAAATAAAGGGGCCTCTGGCAGGAAAAATGAGGAGCATATTATATAATATTATTGAACAGATTTTTAAAAAGTAATCAGGGTCCTCTGTTTGGTCTTGAATCGCCTGTTTTGGGCCACTCGGGCTAATTGTGCTGAAGTGGAATGCTGCACTTCCCTCTCTGTTTGCAAAGTCTATCTGATGGTAAAAATATAACAGGGATGTTTACTGCCTACTTTGAGCCTCCATTGAAAACAGTTTTCAAGCATTTTTTCAAAATCACATCCCTTTAAGTGAAAACTGCTTACTTTAACCTGAGGCTATTCTGGATTTTTTGGGATATGATATTATTTTACTTGCCAGCATGAGTTAATGTGCAGTTAGGCCTCTGTTGCATATAACTAAAATAATTTGTGGGTCCAGAATTCTTACAAGA